CACAAGATTAAATTTATGGCCTTCGTTCTGATTATCGAACGCTCTATATGTAATGGCTCAAGATTCAAACTTGCCAGCCATCTTATTTAATAAGTTTAATACAGCACAAAATAATATGCGGTACATAGAATCTCACTAATACTCACCTGCAAGACTGTTTTTTAATACTAATAATACTACAGTTGGATACTTAAATTTATTTTAATAATAGTTTAGTCTGATAGAGCCAGAGAACGAAGTTGTTTGTTTTGTTGTTTGTTTAGCGGCATATCAATCTCTATGGGTTATTTAATGCCGAAATCTACGCAATTTCATTTATTTATTTTTTTAGATAATAATGGTTTAATGAGACAAATTTTGCTAATTAATCCTTATCTGGAGAGGAGGAGCGGTTGATCCATACCTTTCCCAATGGTATTTACACGTAAGTGAATATAGCGAATCCAACTGCAAATGACTCTCCGATTAACAATTCCTCAGCCATTATCCACTAGACTATTTATCATATCATATATCTATCATATCATATATCATACCTATCATATCTAACATATCATATCAGATATCTATCATATCATATATCTATCATACAATATATCATATATATCATATCATATTTATAATACCATATCATATATCATACCTGTCATATTATATCTATCATATCTTCTGAATTGCCACTTTTCTAGCCATGAGTATTTCTTCTCTAATATTGACTCCAGTATGAGCATAACATTAATTAAATTATAAAAAAGAATAAAAACGCCAAATTAAAACTCTCACTTGTTAGAATATAAATTGTTTTCGTTATTAAGTTTATATTATGTTTATATTATCTTACATAACAGAGTCAACAAATACAAATAAGAACGGATATAGCTGTATTATATAATAATCCGCTTGGAAATATCAGGTGCTGTAAGCAGAACAGATTGGGTTCTATAGACTTGGATGGCAGTCTGTTTAGGTGAAGAAAAAAAAAAAGCTGAATTCAAAACAGCCTGGATAGGATTGGGATCCGTCAGGCTAAATTACTCCAGACTCACCAATTCTACTGCAGCTGCACTACATGTGGTGTCCCCACGACCCTAATGAGTTACTAGACTCGTTATTGTGATGGATCGTGATATAATTTAAAATTTGTTTCTTAACCATCTATGTGGTAAAATCGGTAAGGTATAGTACCTGTAAGACCGGTTCCCAAAATTGAGAGTCGGAATTTCATCATAATTTAAAAAAAAACATAATTCCAATCCATGCTACTTAAGTGGAATTGAATGCAGAAACGTCCTGGAGATTTACGATAAAGTGCAAGATAAACATACCCAATGGATGTTAATACCAGAGATTCAGAAAAAAAGCAAATCTTTGTCAAAGACTGTTTTCTACCTAAAGTTGAGCGCTGATGTCTGGGATGAATTGGCGCAGTATCGTTTTCCAAGGAGTTAAGAATGTCAGTTGTGAAATTGCAATTAACCTAGAGGAGTGTACAATAGACACCTGTAATCAGATAAGTATATATATATATATATATATATATATATATAGGGTGTCCTAAAATAATGTATACAAAATTTGAATCGTTATAAGTTATTCATATTTTGACTTGTAAATAAGATTAATACAAGAGAATGAATACACATTTAAAGAATTTGAAAGTAAAATATACAAAAAACCTAGAAAATTAACTTAAATTAAGATAAAAGCTACTTGGGTCAATGGCAGAAATTGATATAATGATGTGTTCACATCAATTGCTAAAACTGGTTGCCGTTCTGTTCAATACACTTTTCATATCTTGAAGAAATAGACCTACAAACGTCCAGTATCATTTCCTCTGGTATTTGAGCACATTCTTCTTCCATTGCTACTCTCATTTCGGCAATTGTTTCAGGTTTCATGCTGTAAAATTTGTCTTTTAGAAACCCCCACAAAAAGAATTCCAAGGGTGTCAAATCTGGTGATCCAGGTGGGTATTCAGCAGTCCCTCTTCTTCCAATCCATCTGTTTTGCTTATTTTCATCCATATAAAAAATGTATTATTAACTATTAATATTTAAAGAGTGTATACATTATTTTGAGACACCCTGTATATATATATATATATATATATATATATATATATAGGTGTGTGTGTGTGTGTGTGTGTGTGTGTGTGTGTGTGTGTGTGCGGTCAGTTTAGATGTAGGATTCCATTGACGTGTAGTGCATATTCCTCTGCTAACTATGTGGACATGCAAATACCTGTTCGAACATTAAAAAAAATGAAAAAAGAAAAAAAACTTCTTTTTTATTTTATTTTATTTTATTACTTTTTATTTTGTTAATCATTTCCGCAAAAGGGGTGAGAGTGGGGAAGATGGGTGTTTTTCAATACGGAAATAAAAAACGCAATTATATCACCGCTAGAAGGTCAGAACTTGAATGTGGTGACGATGAGACATGGATTTATTTCCGTGTCGCTTTCTTTCTGTTTATTTAAGAAGGAAGTCTTCGTATTCACTTTCTCAACCGCTGAGAAATATGGGCACACGCAGAAAAAGAAAGTAGGCAAAAGTCAATATATATATATATATATATATATATATATATGTGTGTGTGTGTGCGTGCGTGTGCGTGTGTATATGTATATATAATTGTATTTGGGCAGCAATCCCTCTTTTATGTAAGCCTCATCAAAAACGACTGACAAGATACTGTGGCTAAGTTTTTTTTAGATAATCACTAATAAAATTATAAAAACACATGAAAATTATATAAAGGAAATTTACCACAGTATAATGTCAGTCGTTTTTAATGAAACTAGCATATATATATATATATATATATATGTGTGTGTGTGTGTGTGTGTGTGTGTGTGTGTGTTTAAAGAAAAACAGACCACTTCAAGGTTTCATTATAATAATTTATTTCACCAGAGCCCTTTTAAGAGATGCTGGATTATCAGATAACACTTCCAAAAATGAAACGAAAGATGAAATGAAAACTCACACTTTTGACGGCTAGTATTAAGTTTATGTATCTCACGTCTCTCACACCCTCCTCGCTACGCTCTCTGTTTAATTACATAAACTTAATTTATAAGTGGTCGGTTTTTCTTTAAATTGTTAGCTCTGGATTTAAATTGAGCTCTCAGGATTTCATCCTCCTTGGAGCTACCCATACAGATTACCAAGTTTTTTCTTAACTTTTATATATATATATATATATATATATATATATATATATATATATATATATATATATATATATATATATCAGACCAAAAACTAAAATTATCTCAACATATTCTATTTCAAAGCCGTTCTGTGAAAGATTATCATTTTAGTGGCTGTCTCTGAGCATTGTTTTAAATTTATTTTCAATGTCAGTCCTCCTCTGGTAGACGCCTTGTTAAAGAGAATGGGTTTGTTTTAGCGATAGATACCTTATACCGTGGGAAGCGGTCTGAGGTTGACAACATAACCTCAGACCGCTTCCTCCGGGATACGATATCTTAGTCACCCACCAATAACTAACATAAACCCATTCTCATTAACAAGGCGTCTGCCAGAGGAGGACTGATATTGAAAATAAATTTAAAACGATGCTCTGAGGTAGACATTTAGGGGCTGATGATAGCTGCACACAGAACGGCTTGAAATAGACTATCTCTATGTTGAGGTATCTTTGTTTATTTGCTGTAAAAATATATATGCTCTGTTAAAATAAAATCATCGAGCTATCTGTGGACCAGTTTTAATAATTGGTTAAATAATTTAGACGTATTATGTCTATTTATTTTAGTTTTAATCCATTCAAGTCCACGAATTAATTTCTTGGTCGCTGTGAATATGAAAGATTTCAAAATTGTCTTTCACGTAATTTTTATTTTCCAAAGTACATTCAATCATATCTGAGATCATCTTCAGGGTTTGCATATCTTTGAATATGTTATTCGTTAACACTGTAAATTCTAAATATTTTTACCTCTATACAAGAGAGATAACATATGTGATTTTTTTTTTAAAAAAAAAAGTTTTTTTTAATTGTAGTATTTTAATTTGGTATTTGTTAGAGTATAACACCTTTTCTGTATCCGAATGCACGACACTTGACGCAATGTTTTGTTTTATCGATCAATTTGTTGAAAATGAACGTCTGCCCTGGTGGCCCTTCTCTGTTCTAGTTGCTCGTAACATTTTCATATTCCACCTGACATAAAGATATGTTTTCTCAGCTATTTGAAAACTGTAAAAACTTTTTTCTTGTTAGATGGAATTATTTTCCTCTACTGTAACAATTCAATGCATAAAACAAATGTTGGCATTCGTTGTTTGTAGATAGCTAGGTTCGATTCTCAAGTGAACACTCAAAGGAACTTGGATTCTCTATTCACAGAATTAAATTTTGATATGCATTATAAGGGGTGTATCGCCAGTCGTAGTAACTTTACAGCGAAGCGGGCGACCCCTGCTTTACCCAGGTGAATTAGGATGCGGAACTGTACTGGTGCACGACCTACATCCAACTCTTACACATGAAGACAAGAAGTCCCAGGGCACTGCGACTGTTGCACCCTGGTCAACAGCAACGACCTACAGTCTAAACCGTGTGTGAATTGTCGGGAAGGTTTACTGATCTGACTGGTGACGGGGAACGGTCTATCCCCAATCCACCCGTGCCAAGTGGCCATCGGCCAGTCGCCAGCTTGGCCGTAGGAGCTGCGTCTCAAAGATCAACAGCTTTACCAATAGGCAGAGGAACTTCTAAGAAGAGGGACGGGGTAACCTCAACCTCCCTGATGGAAAAGGAGCCAGCCAGAAATTGAATGTTACTACGAACCACAATTGCAACAGAAATAGCCCGCCTTTTAACCACAGCAATGCTAAATGCGCTAACTGAATAAAAGATGATGAATGCACTATAAACAACTTATTTGTTGAATAGAAGACGTGATAAACTAATTCTATATACTATTGTTATTTGTGGATTGTTATGACTCTTTGAGAACGATAGGCTGACGCCCATATCATGTTGAAACACTATTTCCCGTACTATCACAGAAGTTAAGCAACATTGACCGTGGTCAGTACCAAAATGGGTGATCGCCTCGGAATATCTCTTGCTGTAAGCTTGGATGTGCTGATGCTGAGAATTGCAAATTGCAAAACTAAGTTCCAATTCCATTTGGGTTCGTTCTATTCACTTACGCGGAAATATCTTTGAGAAATGGTATGGATCCACCTGTTCTCTTCCCCAGTTATGACATACTTAATAAGATGTATATTAATAAATCATTATCTCCAAAAATAAAAATGAAAAATCTCACAATCTAAAAATTTTTTCTGTCTTTAAATAATTTGCGATAAGTTAAAAAAAAAACGTAAAAAGTTAATGCTTTCTTTTTTATTTGAGAATCATTGTGTAACAAAATTTTAATCTTTTCGTCTTCAATTACTAATTATAATTTCCTAATTTTTGTCTCTCGAAAGCAATGGAAATGATAATTATTTTCTTTAAACTTTGCTTTTGTGATGTAAACATCGATGTTTTGAAACTTACCTATTTTTCCATTACATTCCAGATGAATTCAGTTGCTGAAGGAGAAATTCATGAACTTTCGAGAAGTATCTAAAAGTTTCAAGAATTTCTAAAATGTTCTGGTTGCCAAGAATCGTATAACGAAAACCTGATTGGAGACTATATTTTTGAGATGGGTGAGGGTGATCCGTGTAAATAATTTACAGTATAAGCGTAAATCGTGAAAAACTACTCACTTCTAAATTTGTTGTGGTCTCTCTTGTGTAATCCCAGAATAAATAAATTCTGCTTTTGAGTCACATATCGTTTTGTTCCTACTTTGTTTGAACGAAAATGTTCACATTCACCAGTTTTCCTAATGGGAATAAATAAATTTAAAGAATATCATTATCCTTGTCACAAAAGCAAAGTTTGAAGGAAATATTAGCCATTTTTTAATACTTTCTAGGCGTAAGCGAATAGGAAATCACAGTTGCTACCCAAGAACAAAGATCGTGTTACACACTGAAAATATTTACCATTTGATCACTGTAAGGTTTTAAATTCAAAGTCCCTTTCAGATTGGCTGTCACCCAAGGCTATAGAGGCCCAGTCTACCGCGTTGATCAAACGATAGTTGAGCGAGGTGAGATTGATTCATATCTTTCTCAAGGATATTTGTGCGAAATGAATCACAACAGACTAATCTGCAATTAGAACATGGCTCGCAGATTCCACTTTTCGCGCTGTTCTTCATTAACCATCCGCACGTCCCAAACGCCACATTTTTAAAACAAGATTTTTCAGGACTAAGAGTGCCGGATCGATTAAATCATTTCGTTCAATTTTATTTATTTTCGACACATTTGTTATTTTTTTTTTTTTTAAATATTTTTCTCCGCAGAACAATTATTTTTGTTGCATGCTTTGGAAAATATATAGAAATTACCAGCAGAGGCATTTCAACGGGGTGTAATGATGAGCAATATTATCTCGCTAGATCAATTGCGACTGAGTAGAGAGTTCGATCCTCACAGGGTGCTCCATACTTTCCGGCCTTGTGGGGCATCTAAGCTACGCATAGTAACAAGCTATAGAAATTAAGAGCAGAACATTACTTTGAACGCACAGGTTGAAAAACTAACTCCGGCGTGGCTATTCCAAATGGTACATTGATTCATTTTTTTTACGGTTCATCGACCCTTTGTAGGTTATTTAAAGCCAGAAAATATTTTTAGATTGTAAGATTTTTCTTTTAGAAGATAATGGTTTAGTGATACTAATTAACCTATAGTTAGGAAGAGAAGAGGAGGATTCAGACCTCATCAGAATTCGAAATCCAAACAAGAAATTATAATGTGGATAAAGTGAGGGATAGACTCTACATTACAATCTATGTATAAAATGAACCCTCATTTTGTGGCCACGGTAGTTTCTACACATGCATATTCCAGAGAATGTAAATAAATCTAAAATACATGTCTGTATAGCTAGTAAGTGTTTCATTGACTGATTGATTCATTTTCTACGGCTTATCAATCTATTGCAGGTTATTTAAAGCGAGAAAATATTTTTGTAAGATTTTTTGGGAGATAATAATGATTTAGTGATACAAGTCTTACTAATTAACCCATAGCATGGGGAGAAGACGCAGATTTATACCATTCCCAAGGGTATTTGCGCGTAAGTGAATATAACAATCCCAACGGGAATTGAAACCCGGCTCTCCAATTAACAATTCCAAGTCATTAGCCATTACACGACCCATACATCCAAGCTTCAGCATCTGATATTCCCAAGCAGTCACCTATATAGGTACTGACGTGGCGTGATATTGCTTAACTTCAGTGATCGTGCGGGAACTAGTGTTTCAACCAAACGGCACTTGTCTTTCTTACAATAGAGAATGTTGGCAGTCAGTAGGGGCCACATTTAAGCAGAAATCAGTGAACTTAGATAATATGTTGAATTCTTGTATATCATTTATGTAATAAATATGTTTGATACGCTATGTCATTTTTATAATCCAAGATACTTGTATTTAAAATGTCTTCCATCATTATGGAACATTATTTTTTTAATAATTTTCTCCGAGGCACATATTTCGTTCCATGTTTATTAAATAAGATATATATGAATTACAGATGGAATATTTATTTGAACCGGCACGATTATTTTATAACCTTGACGATTCAAGACAATTTTATTTGGTACAAAGAGTAAATTTAATTCTATTCTAACCTCACAAGCGATTGGAAGAGTGCTTATAAAGTCGAAGAATATTGACTTGTTCTAACGTCAAGTTCATACAAAAATCTCTTTATATGCAAAATGCATTGTTAGCGATTTGACGTGGTGTAATCAATTGCCACTGAGTTGTGAGTTCAGTCCTTTCTGTGCTCCATGTTTTCGGCCTTGTGCTACATGTAAGACGAGTTAGTAAATAGCTATACAGAATACGTTGCATATATCGACGATTCCAAAACATTCTGGAATTAATATTGATCAAGGATGGAATCTCCCACATTTTTTTTTAAATTTTATTTCTACTAAAGCTACTGACGCAGGGGTTGTTTACTGCTTACTCTTTAAATGTTTCGCCAAAAGTTCCAAAATGATAAAAGATCAAATTCTTCACGCACGCTTATCATTTTTCAAAACATTCCCCCAGTGTCGTCAGTGATGTAATTACTCAGGTCATTGGGTAGTTTCGGGCCTTACAACATCATACCATCCTCGCTGAGTCGACCCCGTCAGAGCTGACCAGGCTCCGACGCACTCTCCTTCTGTGCCACGCTATGCGACACTGATTTTTATAATTGTCTCAGCCGACTTGTACTCGATACTAGCAGGATACACATAGGGAACGTCCATAGCGCTCAGGTAAGTTGGGTTAATTCAAAAAGTCGGAAGGAAGAAATTTTTGTTAATTTGTTGCTGGTTTTTTAAGTTTCTATATTAAAAACAGCATTATTATCGAACCTACACATTTATTAAAATCATATAAAAAAATTATCCCTGGAACGTTTATTTTAACGACATGAATGTTTTCATAAATTTCACCGGCTTAACCATTTCAGACATTATTTGTGTCTTTGGTACGACAAAATAGTACCCAAATGCAACTAGTAAAAACAAAAGTTGCTACCAAATAATTTACAATGTGTTTTAACATTACACCAATATAATAAACACTTTTTAAAAAACAAATAATCATTGTCATCCTTAATTCATAGACTTTTTTCTAATGACTCCTTACAGTTTTAATCGAAGAAATTTCTTCATCTTAATATTTATTTTAAGTCCGTGAGAATCGTTCAAGACCGGCAGATAACAAAGAAAATGTTTTAACTTTTATGTGTTGAGTTCTCACGTTATTTAGAAATTCGGTTCGAGAAAGAATGGATGCTCGAACTAGATGTGAGGTTTCAACACTTCCGGTCATTTTACGATCAGTAGAACCCAAGTGATAACTGAATGTTACATTTCAGCTGATGCTGACGCGGCCAAATTCTACCCATTCTGACTGGCCGAATTTCAAATCTGGCCTACGACTGATTACCCAAATCTTCAAAACCTCTGCCCCATCATGCACCCGAGGATAAAAACACCTACAGCCCCATTCCCTCTACCAGCTCTGAGGGCGACGCCTCGGCGTCGTATGACAAAAATACTACAACTACGCGAAAAATGAATGAGCCTAGCTGGCAAAAAATCCTCGACCTCAAAAAGCTGAAGGAAAAACTCGACGGAAAGCGGGCTAAAAATCAAAAATTGCTGGGGGCACCTGGCCCCTTATCCTCTGCCCCGTCTTCCCCTTCATCTACCAAAAAAACTTTTACTAAACCACTTCCGCCCAAATCTTTGACAAACACACCGTCTAAATCCTATCCATCAATAAAACCTTCCCCTTTTAAGACCCCTTCTGGCATGTCACCCTCTACTACTCCCATAGACACACCTATTCCGACACCTAAACAATCTCCTCTAAAGAAAAGAAATAGAAGCCCAGATTTACAGGCCGCAGTTGACAAGAAGAAAAAGAAAATTAAGCCGCCATATCTCCCAGGGGAAGACGTCTGTCGTGTATCCCGGGAACAAGCGGAGAGAGTTTTCGGGCAAACAAGAAACCCGAAGGCGTTAAAAGTTTTATGGAATTTCAAACAGATTAATGGAATGGACATCGAAGTGCCAGAAAACTTCAAATCCGCTAAAAGAGTGTTGACCGTTATAAGAACTGGCCCGGGTACGCGGGAGATTTGGGGCATGATAGAGGAGGCAAAAGCGTCTCTAAAATGGGTGCCCCCAGCTGCCTACCTACTTGAACCGGAGATGGAGGAAACAAATAAAGAGTATAAAGGGAGGGTCCCCGTTTTTGTTCACCCATCCCTTTATAAGGCTCTTAAATTAACATATCCTGCGAACATTGTTGCCTTGTCTCATAATGATACCGTCGAAATTGAGATGGCGTCCGGTTCAATGGGACGAGCTGTCGGTGTCCTCATCCCAGCCATGTTCTATCCTGAAGGACAACCCTAATTGATTTGATAATGTCTCTCTGGTTGACTAGTGTGAATGCCCGAGGCCTGAGGTCCGTTTCGAAGGTTGAGGCTCGCTCGCGACCTTTAGAGGGTGAATATATCTTGTGTGCAAGAGACCCGTTTATCTTCTCGCGATTATGAAGGCATTCTGTCTAAGGGGTTTACTCTTTATTCAGTATGTTTTGATGGACGCTCGAGGGGTGTCTCTTGGCTGGTGAGCAAGACTTTGAAGGCTGCGTGTGCTCTTGTCTTCGCAGATCCGGCGGGCAGACTTAGCGTGCTGGATGTTACCATAAAGGATAAGGCTTTGCGTCTCATTGGGGTTTATGGGCCCAATATCCAGGCTGAGCGGTCTGCTTTGTTTCGGTGGATCGAGCCGTTTATGACGACATCACGGCGGGTAGTTTTAGCGGGGGATTGAAATGCCATCCTTGACCCCGACATAGATCGTATAGGGTCAAATTCAAATTCGGGTACTAACAACTGGGGCGTGAAACATTTTCTCGACTTTGTCGACAAGATCAAACCTGTCGACAAAGCACCCTTAGGGGGTAGTTTGGACTTGGACAAATAGTGGCAGCTTGGCTGTAGGTGTGCGTGCTAGCAACCTCGACCGAGTGTTAGTTAGGAGAGTTGATGTAGGGATCTTAGGGTGTCCAAGTTTTCATTATATAGTTTGTCCGGGTCTGTGTAAACTTAGATAAACCTAAAGTTAGGATGGCTGGCTACTGGAAATTCAACTGCTCGTTATTTGGCGAGCAGGAATTCCGGGACCAGCTGTTACTAATGTTACAAAGGGAACTGACGGGGGCTGTGGTGGGAAATGCCTGGTGGGACAAATTAAAATCTAAAATTGGAACGTTTGATGCCGATTTTAGTCGTCGACTCAATCTAGATAGATTAATGGCGTAAACGGCTTTAGAGCAAAGAGTGGATCGTGATAGTGGGTCAGTTGCCTTAGCTAAGGCAGAGTTGGCCTCCTTGCTTATCAAGAAGGTTCAAGCTCTGGTAGTTAGGGCTAAGTTAAAAAGAATGACCTCTGAGGCAACGAATATGGCTGCAGAATTGCGTGCAGAGAGACTAGGAATGCATCACGGCGGCATATTGCGTGCGTCACATTGCCGGATAAACGAACCGTGACTACAAACTCGGGCACATGATAGGCTTTTCGGGATTATTTTCGAGATCTTTTTACCAAGGTGCCCGGTTTGAGCCCTGCTCAGTTCGACGCCTATTTAGCCGACTTTCTCTGCCTCGAGGCAGCTGAAGCGGCTAGGTGCGAGGGTCCCATCACAGAGTCGGAAATCTGGGAAGCGTTGAAACAGGTTAGCCTGGATAAATCTCCGGGATTAGATGGTCTCACCTACGAAGTCTACTTGAGGCGGTCGCATGTTTTTGTTCCTTTGCTGGAACTGATTTTCAACAACTGGATGAAGCAGGGGTCTATACCTCAACGCTTCACCAGGGGTGTGATCAAGTTGCTGCGTAAGGACAAAAACAGTGGGGATGGGATAGGTAATTTTCGCCCTTTAACTATGTTAAATACAGAGTTAAAGATTTTGGCAAAGATCTTAACCAACCGTTTGCAGCTTGTCCTGTCTAGTCTGATTGGCTCCGAACACTTGTGCTGTGAAGGGCAGAACTATTCAGGACAACCTTCATATGGTCCGCTTGATCATCGAGAAAGTCGACAGTGAAGCCGCGATGATCAATTTGGATCAGTCCAAGGCCTACCTGGTGCTACCACCTCGGCCAGGTTTTCTGCCTATGCTGATGACGTTTTGGTTCTTATGTCGAGCAGAGCTGAGATTAACGAAATCAGCAAAGAAATCAGTGGTTATGAGATGGTGACAGGGGCCAGGATCAACCGCGATAAGTATGTTGGCTTGAGGTTGGGTGCGTGGAAGGCAGTTTCTCTTCCCGGACCTTTCCACTGGACGGATGGGGCGGTCAAGATACTCGGCGTCTGGTTCGGTTCAGATATCTAGCTGGGAATGAATTGGTCGGAGGTACAAGGGAAGGCCGAGATCGCAATTGAGTTGTGGTCTCGGAGGAGTCTTTCGTTAAAGGGGAGGACGGAGGTATGTGCTTCACATATCTACCCGATTCTCCTTTACCGACTCTCAGTACTTCCACTTCCGTATGCCACACTAATTTTTATTAGTTAGGCTTTTGTTGTCTTTCTTGTGGAGAGACAAAGCCGCTATGGTATCTCTGGAGATCTGTTGCCTTCATCCATCTGAAGGCGGTCTAGATATGCCTAGCATTGATCCGTCTTTATATGCTTCGTATCGGATTCCTAAATCGTTTGTGTCGCAAACCGGATGAGGAGGG